GCAGGGTATTTTTTAAACAGGGAAAGGCAAAAGAAGAAAAAAAAAAAATATTAGTTTCCACCATGGTTCTAAACTTCCTGACACAGGAACCATCTCTGCGCTGAAAAATCAGCCTGAAACCCCATGTGGCAAATTGCTAAACAAAAACCAACAAGATTGGGCTGCCCAGAACTCATTTGTCTCAGATGCATTTACATTTATCGAAGTCCCTTTTAACCCCATAATGAGATAAGAGCCAGGTCTTCTTTACAAAAAGACTTGTACAGAATATGGTGGACTACCCATTCTTTTAACACTGGAGCGTGAAGGGGCTGCAACCACTCAGTGCTCAGACAAAGTGCAAAAGGGGGAAGTTTGTAAAATGAAGTAGAGGTCAGGACATGGAAAATAAGAGCTCAGCTACTTATCTCCCAGCTTTTCTTCACACGACCAGAGGAGTTGTTAAGGATAACATTTAGGAGCTCTCAGCACCTCGACAACACACAGCATCTGGCCACCTTGCCCAGGATCAGAAGACAACAGGCCAATCTTCTTACCTCCTCCAGGGCTCCCTGCAGTCTGAGGGAAGGACAGGGCCCACATCCACACCTGGCGCTCAGCCAGCTGCCCAAGCTCTGCTTCTCTCAGCCTCAGCTGCCCTTCCGCAAGCTGGCAGCACAAAGCTCTGCTTTAGGGTAGATGTGCTACAAGGACCTACTTCAGCCCACGCTGCTGCAAGCATGCTACTGCCACTGATGAAGACCAACATGATTTAAAAATAAATAAAAATCCAGTTACCTCTCCTCATACAAACACAGCCTTGTCAATATTGTCAGTGCTACTTTTTTTCCTCTGGGAAACGCATTACTGATCAATAGAGTATGTGCTACTTTGTGAGAAGATGAGTAATTGGATGAATTACAAACAGAAGGTCCTTCTCTTCAGCTGATATTATCCCCAACCCGTTCCTCTTTCTCTGCATAAATTCTTCCTGGCATCTCAGGAGCAAGCCAGGAAAAGATCTCCGAGCCAGAAGAAGATTCATTATTAGATCATTATCTGCAAGTCAGGTCTCCTCAATTCATAAAAATTCAGGGTTAAGTCTCCTCTCCTAATTCAAGTCAGATCCTTCAGCCCAAACCAGGCATGCGGACGAGCTAGGAAAGGAGAAAAGACTATCAAATATAACAATATAACACTCTGCTGCTTTAGCGCTGTTATCATAGTAAAGTTTTATACACAGGCACTGAGGGTCTTAAATTAAATGTCAAATATCATCTGGCACCAGGAATACGAAGCACACGCGCCTGCAGGGAAAAGGAGCCTGACGGCTTTCTCTGCTTGTCAAAACAGCATTTGCCTCCTTCAGCTCTTTGGGCAAATGAATCACCGTTTGCCAAACAAGAAGCTACTGGAATCTACTCACAAAAGCCTACACAAAAGGTGCTGGTGATAGAAGGGAGTAAGGACATCTCTTTTAAATTCTATTTGGATGTTTAGAAGATTGATTTCTCCACTTGTAGCAGAGGCACAGAAGAAGATATAGAGAAGGTCTTGTTTCTGTTTTTGTTGTTTTTTCTTTTCCCCTCCTTAAATTGAGGTTGATACAAGGTTGTTAAGTCTTCTCCCCTTTCAGCTGGCTTCTGTTTTCCTCACCAGTTAAACAAAAGAAATAACCTGAGCTTATTTCTCTCTCAGGCAAGCCAGGAACTGTTGTTGCCCTTTTGAATCAACTCCAGAGAGCTTGCCAGCTGAAGTTTATGAAGTCTAGTTAATTGCTGCAGCGTATTGATTTCATGTTTGCATGGGGAAACAGCCTGGCCAGCGAGCCTGGTGCAGCTGGCACAGCCACCTCGCTCCTTGCTCCTGCCTAGGGGAAGGTGCGATGCTCTCCTATTGCTGCTGCTGCATCCAGAGCCACCAAACAGCTTCCCAAAACGCTGCTGCAGAGGCAGATAATTGCTGGTAATCATGCAGGTTGCAGAAAATGCACAGAAGAGAGAAATTACTTTCCAGAAAGCGGAATAATTTAGGCAGTAACAACTTCTCCTAAGCACCTGATTTTGTCAACAGGGAGCGTGCTCTGTTTCTATGTGCTCTCCCAGGGCACAGAGGGATACAGTACAAGTTTTTGTAGTGGTGTCTGCAAGCAGGAGGAGGGCATGTGGTGAAAACAGCAGCTCCCAGCTGGCACACCTGAGCACATTTGCATGCTGAAGCACATGCTGGAAAACATATGGCAATTACAGCTGCCTCCCCAACACATTAAGTTCATTTTAAGTGGAGTTTTGGGGTGTTAACTGGAAATCAGACTTAGATGCTCCAGGAAACAGCTGTGGTATAAGACATGCCTGACTTGGAAAAAAAAAAAGTGTGGGAATAACAACCATGGGCAGACAGTAAGTACCAGTTGTGCTGCAATGTGCACAGCTCTGGTCACCACAGCACTGCTCGTGCCAAAGGGCTGTGCAGCACCTCCAGCCTATTATTTGGGCAGGTAGTAGGATTTAGTCAAACTTCACATAGCAACCAGCACACTGCACATCGTCTCTACCACTGAGCTTCTCTCTTTCACTGTTCACCCTCTTCACAGACTAGGGAAGAGCACGATCTGGCCACATTAATTCTTGAAGTTTCTTACTGAGAACACCTTTCCCCATGCCTAAGCTCAGTAGCAGCTGAAGAGGAGCCTAAGGATATCAGCTACAGGAGCAAAAGGAAAAGCAGATAAAAGAATGTAGTAGAAAATAAAGCAAGCTTCCACCATGAACATTCTGCTGCATGCTCAGATGTTAAAGCGCCTTTCACCACCCCCTCACCTTCTCTCTCCACTCCTTTATCAGAACAGAAAGCACTCAAAAGTTCTTTCCAGAATGAAGATTTGCAAAGTTTTAACAACCACAAGTGAGAGCAAAAATTCTAAACATGAACCTCTGTAGAACGGATATGGTACCTACCCTGTCCCACAGCCACCAGGCAGAATTGCCAGCCCCAACAACTTTTTAATTAAAGAAAGAAAAGGCAATTTTAGGCACTGGGGGGTAGTGGCAATATTGGAATCCATCCAAATTTCTAGCACAGGAAGAGAAGGCTGTGAGATTTACGTTAGACAAAATCATAAATCTCCATCCACCCTTCGCAGAGCTCTAACGTTAATGCTAAAAATAACTGTAGCGCCTGCGGGAATTCAGCATTTGTATTAATCAAGTCTTGTGGTGCTAGAGGGGAAAAAGCACTACAGGAACAAAGCACTGAAGGATTTCAGGACCCGAGCGTACAAGCAAGGACGTCGCATCCCAGGAACAAGCTGCCATTTGTTTCTGGCTCAGGCGGATGTTCCATAAGGATTACAGCAGGGGAAGGAAGGGGAAAAAAAAAAGCATGCAGACACAAAAGCACATTGAGACACAGGTCAGGCTAGAGCAGAGCTGTCAGTCTCCCCTCCTCACAGCATTAAAGCTTGATTAGCCTGAGATCTCTTACTGCAGCACACAAACCAGGACAGTGCATCAAGGAGCCACGCACCTCCAGTGCCAACATTCCTCTCCATCCATCAGGAGTCTGGCGTGGTTTTGGCATTGCTACACAACTTCCATACAACGCAGACTTCACACGTGCTATAATAAGGTGCTGAACAGCTAAGAAGTGCACAAGTCATCATTGTGGTTAATAAAAAACACAGTCGTGAGTGGAAATTAACTGTTGGGTCACAGAGGCCAGTTGTTCTGGTCCCTAAAACGTACTGTTCTTTCACCCTGTTATTTGCACCAAAACAAGGCACTAAAGTTCTGACATCTCCCTAAAACCAAGGCTATTATTGACTCTGATATCTGGGAATCTTTGCAATGCTTGATCCCAGTTTCCTTTCCCTTACCCTCATGAAAAGCTGTAAACGCACCATAACCTCAGCTCTAGCAGTATGCTTTATTTCACAACTATGCTGTGGAGTCAAAGCCACCTATCCTTTATTATGGTTGTTTATAAAGAGCAATACCACACACTCCCAAGACCTCAATGGAAGCTCCACAACCACACAATTTGACGCTGCCATTATAGCTTTTTGGTTACAGTAACACTATAACATCATGGAAAGTACAGCAATAGCAGCAGGATGGCTGCAGCAAATAAGAACAAGCCCAAACACAGCAGCTGCAGACACACAAAAGAAAAAAAAACAAAAAAAAAAAAACTGCTTACCCCGGGAAGACCTCAGGTAGGCAGAGATCTCCAATAAGACACCCTCACCTCCACTGCCAGCTCTTAAATGAGGTCTGGGAAGGGGTAGATCCTGGTTCCACCCCTTCTGGTCATTCAGGTACATTGCTTGCACCTGAGCTCCCCTGGGTTGGCCCTGCCTTCTCACCAAGTGCTCAATCACTGCTTCAGGCCGTGACTTAGCATCTCTACTACCTTTAACAAGTTAGAATTTCATCTAGCTGTAACCATTGGTGACTCTTACTCCAGTGTCAGGAAGAGGATGGAGTACTCAGGATATTGTAACTTTTCTTCTATTTCTGGAATGACCCCTAGCCATCTTTGTCATATTAACTCTTCCAGACCATGTTACTCCTCAGAATGATTTCTAGCACATTTTCTGGCATTGCATGAAAAACTGAGCAGAATTTCTTTGACTTCTATATGATGATCCAGTATGACCTTAGCTGCAGTCCAGCAACTGGTCCTTTCTCATGTTTGTTCTAATCCACTGCGTAACTGAAGCTGGCTTTTAAGGTAGATGCTATGGTAAAAGTTCATTAAGTACTTGTCTGCCATTCAGAGCCAAAATTCAAACCCACAATTACTAGCTGCATGTTCGTAGTCAGAAAATTGAGGGGGAAAATGTGACTTACACCAGGCACTGTAGAAGCCTGCTTTCTGGGTCTTTTTGATGGGCAGGCTTAATTAGAGCTTAATACAATATTCAAATTGGCATTAACAATGTACTACAGATAGATCAAGGAGAAAGAATGGCAAGAGCAAGCAAGCAAATGTTCAAACAAGCAATCACTTTGGTAACTTACTTTGAGGTCTGTGAACTTGATCTTAAGCCTTTCCACCATCTCCAGCGTGACCGGGTTCAATGCAACAGGTTCTGTTGAGCAAGGAAGGAGAGCGAATGTCACTGGGCAGCACTTCTTTCAACCCCACAAAGCACAACAAAGATTCTCAGGAAACAATGGGAAGTAGCAATTTTTCAGCTTATTCTATCAGCTAAGTTGCAGCAAAGTTACGAATACATTAGCCTGCCCTTGTGGGACTGCTTTTGTTCAGACAAAATGGCTAAGAACAAAAAAAGCAAGCAAGTGTGAATTAAGGAAAGGAAGGAAGGAGGGAAGGAGGGAAGGAGAGAATGAAGAAAGAAGCTGCCAAGTGAACTGGGAGATTTGCTAGAATGAAAAATAAATGCAATTACACAGGCAATTCATTATTCTCACAGCTTCCTTGGATAATTGCTAATGAAGCAGGCCTATGAGAGAAGCTTGACGATGCTCCACAGCCACCACCAAAGTCATCAGCTTAGGAGCTTTTGGGGGCATTCAGTTCTTTCATGTTCAGGTGTTAAATTTGCTCTCTAGAATATGAATCGAGTGCCTGATAAATTAGTACTCTGCATTTATATTTTGATTTATTTATAAATGGAAGGCAAGAGAGACTTTAGAAGTACTAATTAAGGAAGCAATCAAGGATGCATGCTTCAGGAGAGAAAAAGCGAAGTGTGAGGTACTTCAAGAATACCTGAAATATTTGCTTCCTTTGCTTCAGCTACTCCCTACAAAAAAATAGTTGCTCTTATTTGAGAGGCAGCAACTCACTGACAAATAAAAGAGTTGAGGCAGAGTCCAAGGAAGGCTCTTTCCAGAAGCATTTTCTGATTTTATCTACATCATTTAGCAGAACAGAATCTGAAAAATGTGCTGACACCTTGCTAGAGGGAGGCTTAGATAACTAAACCCTGAATCAAATGCCTGCATCCAAAATGTAAATCCTCAACCCCCCACCTAATCCTAAAGGCATTTAAGCATCTGCCAGCAAAATACCTTAGATAGCTTCTTTTTTTTCCCCCTTTTGGCGCAGAGTGTGTAAAGACCACCTAAGTCTGAAAGAGAAGGCAGTCCAGAAGAGACACATTGCTCCTCATCCCATCCACCTCATTCCTCTGTCTGTGTTAAAGCAGAGCAGAGCAGGGCTTCCCTAATACCACACAGCCAGCTCCTCAGCAGCAACAAACACCAGCCCAGAGGGGCTGCTGTGCGGCGGCCCCTTGGCCCTCTCTCTGCATTTGGTTTCTTGTCTCGACGTTATCTTTCTTCCTGTCTCAGAGAGCTACAACCTACATAGGAAGAGGAAAAGCATTACCCTCCTCTCCCACGCTCATGGTGCTGATGGAATGCCAATCACCAGACTTCCCAGGTACTGCATGCTCCACTTTGGACAGCACAATTATCTCTTCAGCAATCAGCTTGTGACATAACAAGCATAAACAGCAGAGAGGGATAAAATGCAAAAGCAACAATGTTTTCACACAAGTGCCCCAAGTCATCAAACAAGGAAACCCTAAACCCTCATCATATGGTATGCTGGAAGGATTGTTTCCAAATAGATTTTTCCTGTAAGCAGTGTCAGTGGCAAGTGTCCCGAGGGACTAGTTATACTCAAGACAGAAGGCAGAGTGACTTAAACGAGCCAAGAAGCATCTCAGCGGTCCATTAACGTACCCCTGAAGTGATGGATGGAGGCAGAAAACAAGAACATTTTTTCCTCTCAGGAGAGGCTGCAGACACTGATCGTAAAATTAGAGCGATTTATGTCCAGGTTCCATCTGACCTGTCTCCAGCCATGGCCAGGCTCCGCTGCGGCCACTATGCTGTCCTAGTTGCTGATCACTTTGGGTGATCCCTGCTCTATGGCTCTGCTGCTATTCAGAACAATCCATGCTGCCTGGCGTTGGTGTCTCCCCACAAAGTATTAATTCACCAACAAGTGGGTACAGCAACGCATGGAGGGCTTCCCTTTGTGGGAGTAGAGGACCAGGGGTTTAGACTTGTACACACACATGGCAGGCAACATGATCTGTCCTAGTCCTAAGAAATTCCAGCTACTAAAGCCTTTCCAGTCTGAGCAAAGCCAACAATGTGAAGTATGTGCAACAACCAATCCATCCTATCCCACCTCCCCCTGCCCACAGCTCCGTCCAAACAGGGGGAAGCCAGCAGTGTGTGATGCGGATGACTTGCAGACCATCAAACTCCCAGCAATTCTAATGGAGTAAGAACACTCATGCAAGGCTCTCCTCGTGGGGCTGGGGCTCCCTCACACAACCAGCAACTGAGCACAAGGGGAAATTGTTTCAAACTATAAGAGGGGAGATTTAGACTGGATAGAAGAAGGATTTTTTTACAGTAAGGCCAGTCAGGCACTGGCACAGGTTGCCCAGAGAGGTGGCGGATCATCCATTCCTGGTTGACTCCAAAGGTCAGGATGGACAGGGCTCTGAGCACCTGATCAAAATCATTGCAGTGCAGTTGCACCAGATGGCCTTTAAAAAACTCAAACGATTCTGTGATTCTACGAAATTAAAGCTGTCAGAGAGCATTTCTCTTGTCAGCAACAAAGATACGAGCATCAGGATTCAGCATGGGTAAATATAAACCAGCCGCGTTCAGTTAGCGCTTCACGACACGGGATCAAATACGAAAGGAGCGCGGGCAGGTTCTGCACAGACAGTAGTGAGCACAGGGTCAGGCGGCGACAGAAGGGGCTCGCAGTGACCCCAGCCCCTCTCTGGCCGGGACAGCACGCGTGAGGACGGCATCCCCGGCCGGAGCCGCTGCAGGGCGGTCGCTCGATGCCCGCCTGGGCGGCGCAGGGGCGGCACGGAGCCTCGCCCGCCTCCCTCAGCCTTAAAGCGGCGATGCCGCACTCGGCACAGCACAGCACTCCCCTCCCCACCCCCCACCACCGCCCATGTCCTGCACTGCCGTCCCCGGGCCAGCCTGGGGGAGGCGGGTACGTGACCAGCGGGGTGCAGGAAGGAGCATCGCATCCCTTCCACTCCATCCGTGAGGCCTACGGTGCGAGGTCTGCCAGGGAAGGAGCCGCGGGCCCGAGGGAGCAATCTGACAGAGGGTAGCGCGTCTTCATACGCTCTGAGCCCTCCCCATCAATTTTTCCCCTGCGGTCGGGCAGCCCACCCCTTTCAGCACGCATTAGCGAACATCGCAAGCCTATTGAAAAAAGTGCTGGAAATGAAAAATGAAACGTATTCTATTTAGTCTTCAATTAAGGAAAAAGAGTTTACTCCATCCCTCTAGGGCAGCAAAAAACTGGAGCAGAGCGTTAGGTTCATTGAACATTAACGATCTTTCCCTATTATGCTAAATTATTGTTTCCTAAGCGGCTGATCAAATACAATAGCTTTATTTAAAGCCAATTCCAGCTGTTAAGAAAGGAGGCGGCTCTGCTGCGGTGGCTCTCAGGGCAACAAAGGACGGCGGGGCTGGAGCACAGCGGGGCTCCTGCACCACGGCCAGGGACACGGCGTGGGTGCAGGGACACGGAGCGGGATGCCCCAAAGGAAAACCGAACCACAAGGGCACGGAGCCGGTGGTCTGAGCGGGACGGAGGTCTGTGCTCTTCTCCCTGGCATCAGTGCAAGCCTACGGTGGCGAGGCTGTGCCCTTTGGACGACGTTCAATGAAATGATTTTCGCTCAGGTCTGTGGAGGCCACAATGTAATTACAAGGACGAATTGATGCTCTGATATAACAGCATACTGTTGCCAAAAGAAGGGATATGCCGTCGTGTCAAGTACAATGGGCATGGAAAAAAAGTACTATTTTGACATGTACTTCCTGGCCACTGAGCCTCAGCTTCCTAGAATCAGAATGAATCACAGAGACACAAGATCACACAACTGCTTGGGTTGGAAGGAACCTCAAAGCCCACCCAGTTCCAACCCCCTGCCGTGGGCAGGGCTGCCCCTCACCTGATCAGGCTGCCCATGGCCCCATCCAAACTGGCCTTTAATGGCAGCATGTGCCAGTGCCTCGCTGCCCTCCAAGTGAAGAATCTCCCCTTCTAGTTTGAAATCATTTCCCTTTGTCCAGTCACTATCAGATCACGCAAAAACTCACTCTCTCTCCTGTTTGTGAGCTCGCTGTTCCCTCCACCCCAGCAGTGGTGCCAGTGGACACCAAATCCCCTGGCTGGGATCTACCTGGGTAAGGGAGGATTGTCGGGCGCTCATCTCGCATCCATGGCAACGCACACTTTGCATACCGTTTTATCCTGAACAAAGGGAAATTAAATACTCATCGTGAGAAGAGTTCAGGTTCCGAACAAGGAGGGGGAGGCAGGGAACAGACTTTGCCTCCAGGTGGAAACCTGGCACATGGCATCCTTCATGCAGTGCGCTTCAGGAAAGCGCTGTCAGAGCAAAAGAGGAGGCTTTGCGAGGAGCCCAGCCATGCCGGGCTCATTTCAGCTGGCACTGTCAGCAGCTTAGTACAGACTTCCACAGCCATCTCCAATCTTCCCCTGGCAGAAAGCCAGAAAATTAAGTTCCAATCAGCATCACATCCTCCTGGGCACTGGAAGGGTTTCCAACATTGGGTGACATCTGTGACTGCTTTGAGTTTGCAACAAAGGTGCGTGTGGTCTCTTTTTTTTCTTTCAACCCCATTGTTCTGAAACTGGGTTGAACATTAATTAAATTGAGTAGTTAACAGCAGCAAGTGGCCTGATTGTTTTCTGCTGTGTTCCTAAGGTGTTATTTGCACTAGCAAATAATGACACAAAAACATAAACCCCTCCCTTTCTTGTCCAGTTTGCATGACAACCATGACCCAAAACAGGAACCACCTCAGCTTGGTGGTGCTTCCCTATCCCTGCTTCCCTGTGACACAAGAGCCACCAGTACAGCCTCTGTACAAGCGGGGTAGCAAGGTGCTACCCACCTGTGCTACATCCCAGCTCCCCGGCAGTGGTACAGAGATGCTGAGAATGCTTCCCTGGTATTTGCCCTTTCCCAACAATTTCCAGAAGATGTAAGTGCATCTGAAATGTTACAAGTCAGAATCCTCTCATTTCTAA